ATAAAGAATTTGAAGTAGAAGAAGTTTTAGACTCAAGGCGGCACCAAAATAAATTAGAATATCTTATCCATTAGCACAGATATGATATTAAAGAATACACATAGAAGCTTGCAATAAATCTTACAAATGCAACAAAGACAGTGGAGGCTTTTTATCAATAACATCTATCAAAAAAAGATAAATGATAGCAAAACTTTACTATAAATGAAATACAATTCAAAAAAGATTGTATATTATCTTTTATCCTTGTTTGTAGTTTTTGTATAATTATAGTGTCAAGGAGATGGAAAACCAACAACTGACAAACTTAACTTAAGAGCCATCATTTGTTGACTTATAGGACAAGACATTGTGATTATCATAGCCTTGAAGATGATATAATAGGAATGAAGACTTTCAAGGACAACATGTTCTTCTTTGAATAAATGGTGAGATACAATGTATTTGGTATCATGGCCTAAGAAAAGACTATCAATATTTTGTGATTTTATTAGAGGTAGGCACAACTCTTGATGGTGTTACAAATGTTTTGTTTAAAGGAAGTTACAAAGGTTTCAACAATGATCAAATCACAAGGTGGTCTTTCCGCTGTCGTATTACGTGAAGTCTTGCTTGAGAATGCATCGAGCACGTAGCTGTAGAAGGTAAAAGAAAATTACAACAAAAGATCCTAACAATCCAATAGGATTATAGAAAAATTACAATTAAATATTAACAATCATAAACAAACATTAAGCAAGCTCAATTAAATTTTATTGAAGTTATAAAAGAAACACAAGAAAATCCTAAAGAAATATAAAAAAATATTAAAAAAAATTTAGTCAAATCCTAACAAAAATCTAAATAAACCTTAAATTCTAATCAAACCCTAATCTTAATCCAATCTTAATCAAATCCTAGATAAATCCTAAATCCTAAACATATCCTAATCAAATCTTAGACAAATCCTAATCCTAACAAATTCTAATCAATTCCAAATCCTAAATAAACCCTAGTCAAATCCTAATCAAACCCTAAATCTAAATCCTAACCAAACTCTAACCCTAATCCTAACCAAATCCTAAATCCTAAACCAAATCCTAACCAAATCCTAACCCTAAATCCTAAATCCTAATCAAATCCTAACCCAAACCAAATCCTAATTATAGATTTGAAATTTAAATAACTAAATATTGAATCGTTGATTCTAATTCAAAATTTGCACACTTATTAGAGTTTAAGTTAGAAACCAGCACACAAATTTTGAAGAAAATCGCACTTACCAATTAATCGATGACCTCAAAATTCCGCTTGGATGTCGGCTGGTCTCTTCTTCTCCAAACTTGATGCCAACTTCCAGTACTGATATCTCTCTTTTCCACCATTCGATTGCTTCCAAATTTTACTTGCATATAGGAAATCAAGTCTTCTACTAATAAAACCAAAAATCTCTCCAATTCAAATGGTAGATTGCTAGATATCTAAGAAAATCTTACTGGTCCTCAAAACCCTAAATCCCGAGACCTTAGCCCACAAAAACCTTCATATGTATCGATCTAGCCATTCGATTGATCTCAAATCTTTTTTATACATTTACAACAAGAATATCAATAAGTCTCTAAATTTTCACCCATAAAAATGCTACAAAAGACACGAAATCCAAAAATTTGCAAATTAGTTTTATTTCTCAAAGATCTGAATTCATAGAGAACATCACTTGCTTTGAAAATCCCTCAAAAATCCAATACTAATCCAAACGACACGAAATTACTTCTCAAAAATCCCTCCACAAGTTTTTTCTCTAATTCAGCTCTCTGATCTCCCAAAGAACCCTTGAATCGCCATCAGAGCATGGTTTTGTGCCTTGGGGTCTGATTTCAAACCAGGTTCATAATCGGTCCTCTTCGGATATCAACTTTCATCTTCTTGAGGTAATTTTTACTAATTTGCACTCCTAACTCCTTCCTACATATGCTTATATCCTTTATTTTTCTAATCTACCTTGTTTTATCTTATTTATGGCCTTACAAAGTAAATAGAAGCATAATTTGTAAAAAGACAGCATTAGCACCTTTAATTTTTCTACCCTTTGACTAATATCTATTTTTCCAAGATAATTTGCTATAATATTTTTGAAGTAAGATCCTCAAAACATGATATTTTCTTCACCCTTTCACTTGTTATCCATGTTACATCATGACACCGCCCTATAATGGAACGTCACCAATGGCTGAGAAGACCTATTAGCTATCTTCAAAGGGAACAAAGATCAAAGTACATGACAAATATAATTTGTTGTATCTTAGACTTCTTCAACATATAATCACCGCCCTTCATGGAACTCACCTCTAGAAGAGGGGGCAATGTCATGAATATATAACTATTATAATTATTATCTAAGTAACTAGAATTAGATAAAAATAAATTAATTCCATAATATCTTCTAAAAAAGCTTCATAGAAGCTTTTTAGACATTGTTTTGATTTTATGTATGTTTTTAGTTGATTAATAGGTTATCAACTTAGTCAACAAGCTACTTATGTGCCACATATGTTGGTAGCTTATAGAACAAGTTAATTATGTGGCATCCTTTTAAAAAACTTATCTTGCAAGTCAAGATATGTGTCATGTAAAGTCAATTCGTTTTAAGAAGTCTTATAGAACGTCACTATATAGATTCTAGATAGATAGTATATATAGAGGTAAGATTGAAGCCTTCTTCACTCTTGTCAATTACTTTCTTGCTTTTAGTCTAGATTCAAGAGTCTTTAGTTTCTTTGTCTTTTGGCAATAGCCATTCCAGTTTCTTTTTAATATATATATTATTTTATTACTATTTTTTTACTTTTATTTTGACACAAATTTCCTAAGTTTATACATCTTCTTCTACTTAATATCCTTGACAAATAAAAAATTAAGTATATATTGTTAAATCTAAAGAAACCATTAACATCATGGAATGGACTTTGCATCAAATTAGAGATGATTCATGGGGACAATTTATAATATGCAAATCTCAATCCCAAAATGACATTCAATAGATCTATCTTTGTAATTAAATAATCTAAAATCTCCTTTTTGACTTATATAAGTAGAAATAGAGAACAATGTTTTTTCTTCTAGAAACCAAGTTCTTCAATTGTTCTATAAAAAAAAATATGTGATTGCAACAAAGGACAAATCCCAACTTTTTTGTTTTTACATCATACATTTTTACTTTGCCATAACAGTATGTCATGGATATATACATTTATCTCAATAATTACTTATATGATTAGATAGAAGTGAATAAATATAGATTAATTTCATAAAGTCTTTTTGTGAAGCTTCCTAAAAGCTTTATAGATGTGATTTTGACTTTGGATGTATTTATAGATTGGAAACTTCGCCAATAAGTTAACCACGTAGCTTGTGGAACAAGTAAACTCCGCATATTAGCTTGTAAAACAAGTTAATCATGTGGAGCATACATAAATAACTTATCTTATAAATTAAGTCATGTAGTTAAGAAAGTCAACATGTTTTGGAGGTCCTATAGGACATTACCATGTAGCTCCTAGTTAAGAGTATATATGGAGGCAAGAGTGAAGCCTTCTTCACTCTTATCAATGTCGTTCTAGTACTTAGTCTTATTTCAAGACTTTCTAGTTTTCTTGTTTTTGACATTAACCATTCTAGTTAATATTACATTACCTTTTGAGTGACTTTTTAGTTCTCTTTAGTGACACAAGAGTGTATCAAGGATTCTCTTTCTTTGAGATTCATATCTTTGACATAGTGCAGAATCTGAAGAAGCTTTTACATTAATTTGGAATCCACATAAATCAACCAAATTATAAACTTTTTTTGGCAAATTAATTCAAAAAAAATAGCCATTAAAAACTAGTGTGATGCTATAGGCTTTTTAGAGATATATAAATATTATAATTATGGTACTTGCAGAAGATTTGAATATTGTCTTAAATTATATAAGGATTCTAATTAGATTTGGAACCATTTTGGATCCACCTAAACTAACCTTGGGCAATACTTGTAGCTATCTTAGAATGAAGTTGTCATTGGCATTCTTCCAAGCTTTAAGTTGCTTCGTATTTACTCATTAACTATTCACTATTTGGGATTATCAGGTGATGTCTTCAAAACCACCATTCTTTACCAAATTTGATGTGCTAGATGCACAAAGTTCTTTGCCAATGAAGATATTGACATATTTCTTGTTATCCATTGAGCATGTTACAACACTATTTTTGCAAGTATGATTTGCTACAATTATATCATGACTTATTTAAAGACTTGTAGTTTGATTTTAAAAGCCACACTATTTCCAAAGTTTAGCAAGATTTGGTGTCACAACAAAATATTTTGCAATAGTGACTTGTTTTCTCCTAAGTAGAAACTATTACCAAGATCATCTAATCTTATAATTCTACAAGGGACCAAATCCATCTTGTAATTCTTTACCTTTAATTTAACACTATCATTTTTATATTATAATATTAAAAAAATTAAAAATTAAAGGTAATTATTCTGTGATCAAATTTAGACACCAAATATGGAAGTTTATATATTATTATCAAATCCTAATAATATGGAGTTGCATCATGTAGGCCCACAATTGTATGTTTTATTTTGGAATAAACTCATATCTATTAGAATTAAATCTGAACTTGTATCTATTGTGGATTCTTCAATATATTAACAAGAGACATCAACAACTCTTGATTTCACTCTCGAACCATTGGATGACATGGATTTCAAATGAAATTCCCCTCACCAATCGTCGACTCTGACACCTCCAATTGGTCAGGGGTAATGTGAAGGCACAGAAGTCTCGTCCACCTGTTCGTCCATCCTCAACCAAGAAATGAACATCCAGGGCTGGATCGGATGTAGGGGGGGCTACGAAGGGCCAAGCGGGGACGCGAAGGCGGGGGGGGGTGGGGGGAGCGAACCCTAGCGAGAGAGGGCGAGACTACCCACCTGCCTTGAGCCTTCGCAGCGCTCTCAGAGTTTAGGGTGACCCTAAAACAGACAATGCAGTCCAAGCATCGCGGGGGGTCCACTTCTATGCCTCCCCTTCGCCCCCTCGCTCGCTAGCCCGCCCGCCCGTGGCGAGGGCGGCTTTGGCATGCACTCTTCTGATGACAACTACCTTCCATGGTAGCTGTCGTCAGCATCTCCGTGCTCTCCGAAACTCTATCCCCATATCTTGGCTCTAGGCTGCTCCCCGACGATTCTCGCAGCTCTGGTGTGCTTTTTGCTTCTGGCCCTCTCTCCCTTTCTCTGTTTCCCTTGTGCTGAGGCCCAGAGTTGTTGGCGTGCAAATGGCACTACAACTACCGAGTGAGAACTCGAGACCCTCCTCCTCTCTCCATCCCCCGCTAACTCCGCTTGGACTTCAAGGAACACACAATCGCAGCTTTCCCCGACCAACCCTCTCTCAACTAGCTGAGACATGGCGGGAGGTGCAGGGCGCAGATGACTGGAAGGGCATGTTAGAGCCTCTCAACGACCACTTGAGGGCTGAGCTCATCAGATACGGTGAATTCGCACAAGTTTCTTACGACAGTTTCGATTACGACAAGCACTCGAAGTTTTGCGGGAGCTGCCGCTACTCCCCAGATAGTCTGTTCAAAAATGTCAATCTGCACCACACAGGCTACACCGTTACCTGGTCCGTTTTTCTTTCGCTCTCCATTTACACTTCAACTTTGGTCAGTGCTGGATTGCAGGAGATCCTGGAGAAGATGTTTTTTGGGACTCCGTAATATTCACCTCGCTGAACCGACTCTTTGCATGGTTAGGTACATCTACGCCACAACGAATGAGAGAGTTTGGAGCTTGATTAAGAGAACAGAGCGGGAGGATGCTTGGAGTAAGAGATCAAATTGGATGGGGTATGTGGCAGTTTGTACAGACGAGAAGGAGATCAAGAGACTAGGAAGACGAGATATTCTGGTTGTTTGGAGAGGCACCGTCACGGATCGGGAATGGGCCTCGAAACTCACATCCCAACTCGTTGAATGTTCCTGCGTAGATGGAAGCGATCATAGCGAGTCGACGCCTAAAGTTGAAGCCGGACTTTTAGACTTGTATACCTCTGCGGACGCTGGTTCGAAGTTCAACAAGATCAGTGCTCGAGAGTATGCGGTGAAAGAAATCGTTAGGTTGATTGAGGAATACAAAGACGACGGCCATGAGCTGAGCATTACGATTTGCGGACATAGTCTTGGTTCAGGACTGGGAATTCTTTTTGCATGCGATGTAGCAAACTCAAAACTGAACCAAATCAACCAGGAGAGAACTATTCCAATAACGGTATTTTCCTTCGGAGGTCCTCCCGTTGGTGACGGTGTGTTTAAGCGACGAGTCGAGGACCTTGGAATCAAGGTTCTTCGCGTTGTGAACAAGCGCGACGCAGTACCTAGCTTGCACACATGGCGATTTGTAGATATCCTTAACAGCGGCCACCAGCACTTGGGAGTGCAATTTGAAGTTGATGATACGAATTCGGAGCACTTGGATCAATTAAAAGCCACAACTCGACAAGAAACTCTGAGGTACGAAATTGGAGAGAAACATACCTCAGCCTTCTATAATCATCACAACCTAGAGGTGTATCTGCACTTGATCGATGGGTATGGTAGGTATGACAAGCCACCGACCCGAGACCCTGTGCTCGTCAACAAGCACTGTGGATTCCTCAAGAACAGCGAGTATGTACCCGAGTGCTGGTGGCAGCCCAAGAACAAAGGCTTGAAATATTCCAAAGATGCGAATAGGTACTTCCAACCAGAACGAGCTGTTAAAGACCACCCTGTCCCTCCCAAGCAGGAGGTGGTCGATGCATCGAAGGCTCTTTCGAAATCCCTCTCCCTTCACAACAGCAAGTCGTAGTACCTCATGTGGCAGGCACGCAGCTGTGAAGGGCGTGGGTGGTGGCGCGTTCATCAACCTACAGGAGCACAGTGGAAGCTTTGTGATGGAGGATGCCATGAGGGAAGGCATAATATGGGTGTGAGGCATGGCTGGCAGGAAAAGCTTGCTTGCTTCCTTCCTTCCGTCCTCCATGAAGCGGACGATGCAAATGTGGATATGGGTTGGCAGCGGAGGGAATTTACAGAAAGCATCGGCGAGTCGCTCCAGTATTGGATCACAAGTCGATGCTCCAGTGCCCACTCTGGAAGCGTCCCACGTCCTGGGCAAGCTGATGCTGCGTGAAGGATAAGGCTGCAGGCATTGAAGTGGAAGTGGAGTGGAGAAGAGTAGAGTGGGGTGTTGGGGTGCGGTGGGGTGGGGTGGGAAGCTTTGGCGTAGTGAGTTGAGTGAGTGAGTGAGCGAGTGCTGGAGAGAAGTATGGTATTAAGATTTTTAAAAAACACATTTCAAAGTAGTTTATGTTAAGTTCAATTAATTTATTATTATTTTATCCATGACTTAGTTCCATTGAATTAGTATGATATTAATTCAATTTAAATTTTTGCCTCAATCCTTTATCCAACATTCTTCTTTTGATACAATTAAGATATTATCAACTTAAGATGTACATATTCATGTCTATGCTCTAATTAAAATTGCAGATTTCCAGGAAAAGTTTTTAATACTATTATTTTTATTTTTTAAATATACATGATATTATTATATCTTTCTTAATTCAATTAAACCAGAACTAAGAAAAAATTTAGAATAAAATTTCATGTAAAAATATATGCAAGTTAAGACATGTGCCTATAAGGAGTGTCAACAAAGATAAATGGAAATTGTTAAAATGAATTTAAATTTGTAATTACAAATATACTTTTTATTAAATTAAACTCCATGATAACCAAATTGTATACTGTAAATTGGGTCAGCTAAAGGATTTGTACAACAATGAGAAAGTAAAAAGTCTTTGACTTTGACAATACTCTTAGATTGTGATCAATAGACCTCTTCATTCAAACAACTATTTTGGTTTTTTTTTGATAATTTGAATCTATAAATTTAAAATTTTTTAGAAATCAATTTTTAAAATGATTTAGTAGTACTAATTTTTGCAGCAATCTTATGGGTGAGCATTTAGCATTTAGAGTTTATTTAAATTACAAAGACAATAAACTCTTTTTTACTTAATTTGCTATGAAGTCTCTATTCAATATTTATACTTTCTTTATCAAAACCTAATGTCTACAAGTTTCTACTTCATTTTTCTTTTCTTTCTAATATTAAAAATATATTGATTAAGAGATGAAAAACCAAAGCCTATCTAAATCTCTTTTTAGATTTGAGGTTGGAGAGCAATCTACAACAAGATGTTGTACTATAACAAATGATCCACTTTTATAATAAAGCAAAAATATTTAAATATGCACAACATATAATAAAAAAAAAATCAAACAAGCAATAAGAAATTAATATCCTAGAGGAGAGAAAAGAGAAAGAGAGATTAAGTATGTACTAGAAAAGCCACAAAGAGTAGTAAAGACAAGTTTTGAATGGATATTGTTATAGATGGCCTAACATCCAAGACCAAGAGATAGAATAAAAATCAAGTCCATTACAAAATATGAAAATTTTTTCTTTATTTTAGATTAATGACTAAATTTATTTCTACCAACCTCATTAAATAATTAAAAAACAATTGCTATTAAGTAATATTCATTAGAATTTATTTTTTCTATTAATTCTTGTAAATTTGAATTCTCAATATTTGTGCCTTGTTCATGTTCTAAATTTTAAAAATTAGACTTAAAAAATACTTTAATTTAGAAAAAAATGGCATTACTCCCTTGTCTTTTAAAAGTCAATTACTGCATCTTGATTACAATCCATTTTTTCTCCTTATATATCATATCTTTGGTTATGTGCCAATCTTCTTGTTTCTTTGTCTTTGCTAGAAAAGAACCATATATCTAACATGAGTTTGTAAAGATTTTATTCTTATTCTTCAAATTTCAAAATGATTCTTTTATTTCATTTTTATTATCTTTTAAAATAAAAAGTTTGGTGCTAAGATAAATCAACTAATTGTAGACAAGAAATTGCTTGTAATTCTATTCTTTAACTACACACTAAACATGCACTATTCTAGTTATAAAATAAAGTCAATATTATGCAACTCAATCCTTGCATTGCAACCATTTTTCCAATTTATCAACACTTGAAAGATTCAATTATACTTTGCAAGTCTATAAAAATACATTTGTTATATGAGCAACAAGAGTACTAGCCTTTAATAGATTTTTAGCTCAACTTCAAAACAACTTTATTGCTCTCTTATTTGAGTATATTTGTTAAAATTCTAACAAAACATAAAATCTTTTATAAAAAGCAAGAACTAAGAAACATTAAAAATAACAAAACTTAGCACTTATCTCATTAAAGAACACATGGTAAAATCTATTGTGAGTGGAAATTTTACTACTAAAAATCAATTATTGAAAGATAATTTAAACCTCAACCAAAAATTTTACAAAGATTATTTTAAAAAAATCTCAATTGTTAGTACTATGCTTGTAAATTTCTAAATCAAATAAAAGCTTTTAAGTAGAAGTACTAGGCCACTAGAGCTTATGTCAAAATAAAAGACATATGTTGATACACTCAATTAACATATATAACATTAAAAAAGTAGCAGAAAACTAGAGAATCATGAGCAAAATCAATTGATATAATTATTAGTAGTGTTTATAGTAAGTGTTGTGTATAAACAAACATAAAATAATTAAATTATTTAAATCGAGTTTTCTAATAATTAAAATTAGACTTCACCAAATGAAAAATATATGTATCAAAGCTGTAATAAAAGCTAAAAGTAAATGTATCAAGAAAAATGGAATTTAGGTCTATTTAACCCAATTAGAAATAAAATTTAGAAAACTTAGATGGATGAGCAAAACTTCCATTTATCGATAACAGAAGGGCGTCGTTCGTCCACATGAAGATGAAAATCATCTTATGGGGGGGGGGGGGGGGGAGTCCGCAGCAGCCGACAGGGCGGTGGTTGAGGGCCATGGGAGGGAGGGAGAGAGAGCAACAGCCCAGGCCGAGGGGAAGAAAGTTAGGTCACCGGAGGCGATCACCCTGATCAAAGATTTCATGCAAATTTCGCCGCTGGGGTGTCACCTTTAGGTTCGAGCTTCCATTTTCTTCCTTCAGATACGCAGTTGCTTGTGACCCACTATTTATTGTCGCAATTGGAGTGCAGCTTGCCCCTCGCGAGCTTTAAACCCTAGTCCTTGCATTGGATAGCTTCAGAAGGGTTGCGCGAGATGGCGAAGAAGGAAGAGGATGAGACCCGCACTGGGAAGAAGCGCCGGGAGATGCCGGCTCAGGTTGTGGAGAGCGATGATGAGAGCGAGGAGAGTGACGATGACGTGATGGGGGATGAATTTGAGGGGCTGGCTGAAGAGTTGGACAGTGACGAGGAGGACGAGGTGGTTGGCGAGAGCGATGAGGAAGAAGACGAAGATGAAGACGAGGAGGAGATGCCTGAGGGAGTGAGGAGGTTGATGGGGCGGATCATGCAGCGCTCAAGTGGGAAGCAGTTGGCGCGGAAAGAAGCGGGGATGTGTTCGGAGGAATCGGATATGGACTCCATGGAAGGTAGCCGGAGTCGGAGTGAGGAGGATTTGCGTGATATAGGCAGTGCAAGGAGGTTGGATGATGATGACGATACAGGGGATAGCGCTTGGAAAGTGACAGAGGTCGAGGCAGAAGGGGGCGGCTCTGGAAATCCTGCGCCCAGTTCCAGCTTGGCGGCGGACTTGGTAGCTGATACGGAGAAAAGGGATGAGATTGCGACTGGGAGTGGCACCAGCAATTTTGCTCCGGCGGAGGGCTCGGATGGTAAAGAAGACGAGAGTGAAGGAGAGGATGTGATGGAGACCGATGATGAGGGTGAGGGTGAGGACAATGACGAAGGTGAAGTGGGGAGTCAGAGTGAGGAAGAGGCTTCAGTATCGCTAGATGGCGGGTCTGACAGCGAGGCGGGTAGTGATGGTAAAGATGACGCTACAAAATCTTCTGCTTATAGTCGCGCCTTCAGTAAAATTCTGCAAAGCAAAGCAGCCAAGGAGTCCGATACTGTGAGTGAAATGTCATAACGCAGCTTCCTAGCTTCCGGTTTTTGTCTCTGCTGAATACTGTCTGCATTTTTGGGATTAGTCTTGCTTGACCTACATTTGTTGTGCAGCATTGCACTGGTGCTTCCTTCTTTCAACACAAGTTATATTGTCGCCTTTGCTGAGTATTTTGTTTTTTGTCGCAGGGACCCGTATTGGCAGCAAGGCAGACACTTGTTGCCAGGAAACTTAATGAGGAAGCGGAGGATACTAAGGAGAAGAAAGAAAGTAAAAAGGAAAAAAGAGAGGTACTTCTTTGGTGATTTCACTCATCTTTGTACGCATTGCTTGAATTCCATGTTGGAATCAATTCTGTTTGAGAACATTTTTCTCCACCTGAAGGTCAAGGTTAATTGTCAGCTATAACATCTTCCCAGCCAGAGTTGAGAAGTTTGGAGTTGCTTGCAATTGTTGATATCCGATTGTGTGCTCTCAGATTTTGCTCCTCTATCATGTCAATGAATCATAGCTGCTTGGTAGCTTTCTATCAAATCAGAGAACTGTATACCTTAGATAAAATAACTAGCTGCACAGAATCTTTTTCACTGCATTTTTGTTGGTAGTGGTATCTGGGACATTACTATAATTCGGTCCATATTATTTTGTCTGACCACAAGTCTTACATGATTAACGTGGTTATGTCACGCGCTTACAGCTTCGAGAGAAGGCACACCTGATTCCCCAGACATATGCGAATACTAAAGAAAAAGAACTCGTAAAGTTGGCGACAAGAGGAGGTGTTTATCTTACAGTATTTTCATTGATGGCTCATCAATTTTAAGTATAGTTAAATTGTTTATTAGGAGTGCACAATAAAACCATTTGTCTGTTGCTTTATGTTAATTATTTATTAGTTTTTATGAATGTCATTTTGGTTGGTCATTTACTCAACTACACTCTGTTTACATGTTCTGGCGTGGGTGTTTTTCTTGGAGAACAGTGGTGAAGCTTTTCAACGCGGTAATTACCTATATCATTTTCCCGATATGCAGTTAGTATATTGTATTGTTCGATAGTTTTTAGTGCATGCAATTCTTCTTTGGAGGTTTCCTTGTATCGAGCTTAGGATTCTGTCGGACATTATTAGAACTCCTAATATAGACGCTTCTGATGTTGTTGAGGGTGTTTTCTAATAAATATCTAAGTAGGTGTGATATCGGTTATTGTACTTTATTTTGTGCAGGTAAGTAAAGCCCAGAAGGTGCAAGCCAGTGGAGACGGTCGGGACGCTAAAGGTAGATTGAGTAGGTCGAACAGTTTTTTGTGTGGAATTCTTTAACATACAGAAGCACGATTCTATTTCAACTCCATCATCGGTTAGTATCTTGCAAGAAAAAGCTTAATTTTGACTGTCCGGATTGCAGTGGTTGCCAAGCAGAGCAAGTCGGTCTTTTTAGCTGAAGTTAGAGGCAACTCCAGTTCTGCCGGTGTCGGTAGTAAACGGGGTTTGCTCTCATCCTCAACACAGCCTTTCAAGTTTGGAGCAGTTGAAGCGCAGGTGTGTTCCGGATGTACAATCCTCTGTTGGAAGTTTTTCTTGAAAGTCTACTTTTGTAGTAAAGGAATTTTGGTTTTCCCGGTTTAAATTGTAACACCTAATCAGAGATTTTGGAATTTGGGGATTTCGCAGAATCAGCCAACATCTCGGTGGTCTGTTGTTAAAGATGATTTTATGCTTGGTAAACAGAAGCTGAAAGATTGGGACAAGGTGAGTCACTGCCATATGAGGTCTTTGGCGCAAATCCTATAGTGTAGTTTTGTGGTTTGAGGAAATGTTTACTACGAATATTAGGCCAGGCTGTTTAGCGGCAACTACAAGGTGCTTGGTAGTTCACAAACAATTCTCTGGTTTGATTGTGACGTTGGTTGTTCTTGACTTCAATGTAAGCATTTAACTGAGTTAGTGTACGCAGATTCATACCCACTTATTGCGTGAGTTTATTGTGCCAATTGTATTGTCAGGATGAGGAGATGGGCGATGCAACAGAAGTTTAACTAGTGAACAACCGAATCGCTGGAGGCCGGAGATTGGACGTTGATGATAATGATTGATCCGAATCAGAGGCTCCTATTTTGTCGAGAGCACCACATTACTCGAGTGTTGCTAGTTTTGATGATCAATGTATTTGTTCCAGCTAATGTTCATCGACTAGTCATTCTAGCTGCTGTTCTTTTGATGAGGAATCACTTCAAATGGCATTTGGCAGTGGCTGTGCAGATTCATAGCAACTCCAGATATGGTCAGTTTCCATCTACTGGACTTTTTGAGAGACATTCGTATTATCTATTTTCATAGATTACATCTGCTGCTTGGTAGAGTAGATTTTTGCTCCATATAAGATTCCAGCCAAAAAATTAGTATCTTCATTTAACTGAGTCAATCGGGGATTATGTAAATGCTGATATGGCACCCCTTCCTGGGTTAATTCAGAAGATACCACCAATCAACTTCTTGAATCCTGGACCTAGCAAAAAGTATGTTCTAAAGGTGTTTACGGGAGTCACGTGTTATTGAATCAGAAGTTATGGATTTTATATTTCAGATCACATTTGATGGCCAGTTAAACTGGTTGTGTGGTAAAGCTGCAGAAGTATGTTGTAAAGGTACCTTAACTTCCAAATGCCAATTACAGCTGTTCCTCCAAAGCTTGACAATGCGTTGAAGTAAGATTGGCTCGCAGTCGTAACACCTGATAAATTCAAATTGCCTCCGCAGATTCTTGGGTGTGAATGCAATCCATCTCTGGTACTGTGATTCTGTATTACAGGTAGACTTTGAAAGCTTCCGATTGGTAAGGTTAAACCGAATAGGAAGGTTGAAAACGTCTAGTGTGAATCAAATTGTGTAGATACATCGAAGATATTCACCCAAAATTGAGATTAAACCTTTGAAGTTCAAAAAGTTTCCTATTTCCTTGTTGCCATGTACTGAAGATTGTTAATGACCATGTGTACTTAAAGGAGCTTACCAATCAAAGTCTTTTGAGATATAGCCTTGTGAATGGGTAAACCAAGTTATTTTTTAATAAAAGATTACTTTCCAACAAATTTATTTGAATATGGTTGATGGAACTTTATATTTATAAATTACAAGTTTAAAGAATATGCAAGTTAAAGATAACATTGTTAGATAATATTTTTATCATCAGAGGAAATTCTTTGTAAAGATAATATCTTCTATTTATGCATAATGCTTGTACAACAAATCTTGTTGTAGAATGTATTATTTAACTATTTATCAAATTTGGTAAGTTACTTGGACTTAATAAAATTTTAACCAAAAAACCAAAATGTCTATGGTCTGAACATATTGCTAATTACACATTAATGTTCCTATATATATATATATATATATATATATATAATATTTTTGAATTGAATTGTTCTATTAAAAATAATTGGTTCTTCTATACTTTTATTAAAGATATTAAATATACATTTCCACATGACCTTTAGTTTCTTAAAATGTCACTTTGGGGTAATTTAATGTATACAATTTAGTTTATTATTATTATTATTATTATTATTATTATTTTGAAACTTCTATAATTCCATTATAAAGCCTTGATTCTCATAATTCATCAACAATCATTGAAAATTTTATTTTATCACTGAAAAAAGTTGTATAGCACTTTTCAATACATTTAATACAACCTCCTATAATGATGTTAATACTTTGTTGTATATTGTTTTAAAATTAACTTCTAAATTATTTCAACTATTAAAAGAATATATGAATTGTTGATGTTGTATTTAAAATAATATTGTGAACAATATTGTACGTCAAATCATATTAAGGTTTAGGATTTATTGAAATGTTCTAAAGCGAGGAGCCACTTGAATTTTATGTTCGTCTAACACCAGATACCAGTTAGGTGTCTATTCCGCGACGACCATGCTATCACTAAACATCCATATTTTCATTCATTCTCAATTATCCCATTCATCCATCCATACTAAATATTGAGCCATGTCGTGGGCTACAGAACGCGAGCGGCAGCGACAGCGGCACCAGTCATGCAAGACCCAACAATGATAGACAAATAAGATCAAAGTGTATTGAAACACTATAGATTCGCATTCTTCAACGAGACTTACACCTTTTGTAATCCATGGAAAAAACTTCATCTTCTCAAGTCTCTCCCCCCTCACTGCACTTTGTATTTAGCACCACCGAGGCAGCCATTGCGCTAGCGCAAGCGCAGGCCAAGGAGCTTGGTGGTGCAGGAGTAGGCTGAATCTCGAGGATTCTTTTATGCTTGCAGTAATGAAGAACGGGCCGGTGGGTGCATCATCGGAGTCACGATACATGGCAATGTCCATCAAGGTGACGCTAGGATGCAATTCTCTGCACCTTGAGCTGCACACTGAGCTGTCGGCTTTGATGATGGTCTCATTGTTCCCAGTGCTCATGATGGTTCCTGATGTGGACTTTTTGACGTTGAGGTTGCGGTTAGTTCCATGAAGGGCGGGCAGAGTCTGTCCGGTCGTGAGCTTTGCCGCTCTAGGAGGATTCATGATGATGTAGCATAGATTTACCCTTATTTTGTTTTCTGCCATAGGGACATAATGTGTTCATCCTATTTATAATTCAATTTCACGAGAAACAGCAACGTCCAATTTCAAGAATTCATCTAGTACATTAACAAAAAGCTCTGATTCGGAATACTGCGGCCGGACTGAGTACTAGTCGGTAAGGTTCTCCAAGGTGAGGTTGATGGCAGCAAGAAGGAGAAATAGGGCACTGATGCCATTGACTGTATCGTTGTCTAGAGCGAAGACATGATTGGACATCACACAAACATCACCATCTGAGCGTTGGTATTTGCTGGATGCGCGTATTTTAGCTTTTCAAGGAGCAGCCCTAGCACATTCCAGAATCAACCAGTTGAACCCAAAGTGTCTTGAAACACGCTTGAATATCACCGTATCACTGTCACCAAAGGTAAACTTGTGCCGATGGGCTTGTGGACAGGCGAAACCGGCAGCTAGTTATGAATCAGGCTGATTTGCCTCTAAGGAATCAGCTTCTAAGTATTCTTTTGGGGTTCATCCTCGTGTGCTGCTGTCAATACTATAAACGTCGATTTTGTTGTCTTGTGATACACAATCAACTTCTCCAGGTTGTTAATTCAAGAGAACTAAAGCAGAGCTGGTGACAATTTCTCTCTACAACAAATGGTGGCCTATAGCATGTAAGATGCTAGATTCATATTGGACTGAGGGAACGAGGCCGTGGATAGGGCCGTAAACTGATTCAAAAAGTAGTACAATAAGCAAGGATTAAATACTGCCTGGTAGAAGGTTCCGCCCCCATGAATGAGAACGAGATGATCGATTTAGTTGGATGTAACCCCAAGAGGAGGAGGGCATGGTTGTTAACACCCCCTCTTGTACTCATCATTGATGTTGTGAGAGAGAACTATAGACATGGACGAGCTTTGGCAAGTGCGTGTGAGTAATTTTCATTTTAATTTTTGTTTGGAAGTAAGAGATGCTATAGGGTTGAATGGCCTGTGAATTGGATGCTGTGACTTTTGTTGATGATGGTAGTTGAGTGCCAATGATGACGACGAGTTGGATGCTGAAGCCAAGGGAATAACAGGTATGTTTGTGCTCTCTAGTGCGTTATTTGGGGTTACCGCCGCTGAGTCTGTGGCCGGCATTGGGTTAGGTTGTAGTGAGCTTTTGTTGCTTGGGCCTAATTTGAAATTAGTTAGTATCATGTTTTCCACAATTTGTAGGTGAGGTGGTAAAGATTTGTGTGTCGCAATAGAGTGGAATTCTGCTAGAGGTGCAAAATGTACATCTTTAGAAATGATGACGCCCTTGGTTTCCGGATTGTAGCAACGAAAGGCCTTCGTTTATCATCTGTACTCAGGTAAAAACACTAGTGTAAACGACTATCTAACTTGCCTTTTCCTGGTTTAGTGTCAACTACATAAATCGAGGATTTAAAAATATATAATTGAGATACATTAGGTTTGATGCCTAAGAATAGTTTGTCAATTTTTTGGTACATTAGGTTTGATGCTTAAGAATAGTTTGTCAATTTTTTGGTACATTAGGTTTGATGCCTAAGAATAGTTTGCCACAAAACAAGTTGATTATAATAGTGGCTGTGCAGATAGCTTCTACCCATATAATTTCAAGTAGTTCTCTGTCCAATAGAAGACATCGAGTGATATCTATATGAAAACAATTTCTTTCTTTCTTTTTTATCTTTTATTTATTTATTTATTTTTATATTGAAGTGTATATGGTTGAGAAAAGCGACGGTTAATGTCGTGATTTGCACATTAATTGTCTATTTTTTTTGAAGTGTGTTCTCCATCTTAGGATGCGTGTATATATATATATATATATATATATATATTTGGTTTCCTACTTCTTTTTAGAATATCTTGAATTTATTGATAGCTTCATTTTTCTCAATATAAAGTAAACAAAGATTTTTTGGAAAAGTCTTTTGACTATGCCAAACTCTATCATTTTTCTTAATTCTTCATAATAAAAGTGCCCTAATTGTTTATGTAAAAACATTGTTTTTGACATATGGAATTTTGTATAGGTTAACACCTCATTGGAATTGATCATGGTGTCTCTCTTGAGTTGGTAAAAGCCATTCACATAATCTCTTTCAGCTATGGCTATTAGCCAACAAAAAAACAAGTTCTTTTTGAATACTTGACAAGTAAATAATATTATTCATTTTTTATATTTTACTTGTCAAGAAAATTGCAACATTGCCTACACTTATAATGTTGTGATCATATTTTCTAATAGACGTGCTTTTTGTTTTGCTGCTATATTTTATGGAAGAAAAGACATTAGAACTACCCGAGATATGATGACATGCTTCCAAATCTAGGTACCAAGAGATAAGAGAGCAAATATTGTGAGGTTTATTTTAGCATATTAGACTTCAATGACATGCAATGCTAAGTGGTCTTCTTTAGTTGAGTATTCTTTTAATTGTCATCTAAAGTTATATTGTTCATTGAAATAATATTCTTCAATGTTGTTGATTTGAATATTGTGGTTTTTGCCCTTATTGTCATGAAATTTCAACTCTAGTTTCTTCAATTTTTTAATGAGGGTTTTGATGTCTCTTTCAATGTTGGCTTAATTTGACTGATTTGATCCTTTGTGCATAGGTCTTTATTGATTATAATCACTTCTAAATCCTCCATTAGGTCCTAGATATCTTTTGTTGTGATTCTTGAAATTCTTTTGATATGAGCTTCTATTAGAGTAGTTGTTCTCATATCCACATCCTCCAAAGTGAGAAGTTTTGTGATTGGATACTCTCAAGTGATGATTGCCTAGGTATTTGCTAGATCCTTGTGAGTTTTAGTATATTGGACATCCTCATTGATTCATCATACAACCACAATTATATGGTTAGTGCGTATGTTTGCAGGTCAAAAGTACATTTTCTTATTTATCATCTCCTTTTTATATTTTTCTTATTAATTCCACAATCATGGTGTATAGCTTAAACTCCTTGTATTTTGATAATTTTTCATCTAGATTCATTTACTTTAAGATATCATATTCTTTTAGTAAATTATTTAAGATGTACTAGAGCATGATTGCTTTAGATAAAAGAACATTCACTTCATGCAAACAATTTGATGTTCCTATTATTTCCATAAGATATTCATTTATACTCATTGAACTAGTATTTTTAGTTTTAAAAAACTTTTCCATGAGATGTACTTTGAAGAAGTTATTATTAACTTCATACATTGATTTAAAGTATTGCCAACACTTACAAGGTTGTCTCTCTTGTTTTGTCTTGCTATTGCCTTTAGAATCAATCTCACCAATCTTTTCACTTTCTTGTTTTGTTTTTCTATTGTCTTTAAAGTTAGACTCAACCATCCTTTCTCTCTCTTGTTTTGTCTTGCTATTGCCTTTGAAATGAGACTCAACCAACCTTTCTTTCTCTTGTTTTGTTTTGCTATTGCCTTTGAAATCAGACTTAGCCATGATGCATCTAGAAACTTATGTTTCTCATAATCTAATTGATGAAACTATTTGTCCAAGGGGACCTGCTTTGATACCATGTAGGGCACTACAGACATATTGGACTAAGGGAACAAGGCCGTGAACAGGATCTTAAACTGATTCAAAAAGTAATACAACAAGGAGGGGTTTAAATACTTTCTGGTAGAAGGTTACGCCTCCACGGATGAGAACAGGACGAATGATTTAGATGGATGTAGCCCTAAGAGGAGGAAGGCACAGTTGCTAACACAACATGATAGAAATTGAAACAGCACTGGTCACGCCTTTCAAGCTTCCGTTTGCAGCACAAATGTTCTCCATCGATTGTAAACTAGTTGGCATAGAAATTTGAATGCAAGGGTGCAATTTCCGAGTGTGCAGTCAACCGCATCCAACATGACTCAGTCTGTTTGGATGAAAATAAAAAAACACATGCTTCAAATATGTTCCATTCTCCTATTACCCGACAATCAGCAATAAGCAAAAGATTGCTGCATGGATTCTGCCACTCTGATTGTGAAGTCTAACAAAGATCCAGAGTAGGCGAGGCACTGCGGAAGCAGCAAAGTACCCGATATTAGCAGAATGAGCATCCGAAAGGGTGAACTCTTCCAAATTATCGTTGTTGACTGGAGGCAAGGAGTTGGAGAAAATAAATTGAATATTGAATATTGCTACCCAAAACAGCTGTACCACGCAATGCAGCACGATTTCGGCGTTTGATGGTGGGATGAAGTCAAGGACTCATCAAATGCACACTCAGTTTTCACTATGACTTCTGGGTCCAACAAGTTGGGGAGCCTGCCTACTGTCAGCTGATGAAAAGCTACCGACAACACTAGAATGAGGAACAGCTGTCTCGCCCTTCGCCAAAGCCATGACATTTTCACGAAGAAATTTTGGTGGCAGACGGCCAACAATATTTCCTTCCTCGTTTCCTTTCGCATCAAGAAAAGCAAAGTGAGGGATTCCCTCCACTCCAAATTCATCCAACTCTGGTTCCCATTTGGGGTTATCCACGTTCAGCATCACAAAGTTAATCCGGTCTCTGCAAGAAAGGTCCGGCTTTTCGTTCAGACCAGAGGAAAAACTTGCCAGAGCAAATGTCAATGTTCACAGAAGATGTAACCACAATCGAAGCCAGAATCATATGCAGTGAGGTAGGCTGCGCGTGAATTTGATATGGTTAGCCTAATTCTATCAACTGACGCAGAACTTGAGGTTAATGTGAAAGTAGCACCCAACTGACCACGGTAACGTATCTAAAGCATCGACATGATCTAGGCATTAGTCAGGCGGCCAATATTTGTTATGCCAGTTGCTGCAGTTCTGGAATAAATAAATGCAGTCACTCAGTCACTCATGAGTACCAGAATTTGAGTAGCTTAGGGATTCGATTAATCACCCCAACACGAAGAGCTGAAGTGTGCATGTGTGTGAGTTTTTGTCTGAAATTTGAGTTGGAACTGGCTAGATACTGTAAGATTAGACGAGGAACTGTGAAGGATTCAAAAAATGGAAGTAAGATTGCCATACCTGTACTCCTCCTCTACTTGATAGACATCCTTGGCCATTTCGCGGCATACTTCACACCAATCAGCGTAAAATTCAACTACTGTCGGTCGACCATTTGCCAGCGCCTGTCCAAAACCAAAACATCCGGGCATGAGATAGCAGATCAATCTCCAGAGACGTAGACATTTTAAAAAATTGATTAATCGAATCAATCGCCCAATGTCAGAACCGTGTTCAGAATATACGCCGTAATAAAATACTTAGGTTATCAACTGACGCTATGCTATACAGCAAGTCTGGGGCATGCCATTTGACATCTTCATTTTCCACAATGTAACGAAGACTATATTCCCGTAACTTCTTTAGGAAAGGCACTTGCACCTAAATTTATGATATTAGAGATAACATCGTCATACCCACTGACATGATTTTCAGTAAAAAAGACATGACCGCTTCCTAGAATGCTGGAGGATAAGTCTGTTTCTATCTATTTTTCAAAGTCACAATCCACGATAGATATGACCAAGATTGTGTGATGTTAGTACCGATGGGCACATTAGGTCACTCGCTGTAAGGTGCGTAGTGAATTTCCCACAACTTCTGAGTATTCACAACAAAGCCCAGTTTGAAGTACAGAAACATTATGGACTTTCCACTTGCTACTCCTACTAACTAGCAGCCCTTAGAAGGTACACAAAGATGGCCCCGCGCATTGGCAAGGAAAGAAGGTAAAACGATTGAAGCTAGCATACTCTTTGTATGGCATTCTGCTCGGCCAGATTCAACCACGAGAAACCATGACGAGTGAAGTACCTCTTCATAAGGAACAGCATTAGCGGAAAGCTGGCTTAAACCAGGTCGAGCGACTCCTTCTAGTCTCCCAGAAACGAAGAGGCCAACTGCAAAAACTACTGATCCTAGAGCAATTAGACGATTCATTTGCTTTGACGGTCCGATTTGTTGAAAAACTTCTACTGGAGTTGCATTCTCCTTTGCGGTTTCCGAAGCAACTTGCGTCACTTCTTCTGTTTCTTTCTGGCACCAAAGGAAAGGCCAGCAGAATCAGCATATTTCACGTGCACATCACAGACATGATCAAAGAGCTACGGCATGGATTTCTAGCACGAAAACCCATAACAGTCATACAAAGCAGTAAATATCTAACAAAAACAACAAAGCTCCAAAAAAAAAAAAAAAAAAAAAAAAAAAAAAAAAAAAAAAAGAAAGAAAGAAAGAAAAAAAGAAAAAAAAATCGTGGGTCTTAATGCAGCCCACAAAAATAAAAGATAATTAATCAAGGCTGATCAATAAAACATGAAGAGAATTGTATTCAACCTGATTACAGCAATCTGGAGGCGGAACTGGCGGCACAATTTCTTGATCCTCCGGCTTAGACATGCAAACCCAAGTTGACGCTGGAGATTTCTTAAGTTCGAGGTTTGTCCAATGTTTTTCTGAGTCTATTGACACTAAAGACCTAGAAGTAGTTTTTGACCGGGTTCTCTGAAGTCCAATTGTCGGCATAAACCGAAGAGTTTGTGTAGAACATACTGTGGCCACCGCGGCCATGGCTGAATGCGGTAACCCTGAATCAAATCCACAGGTAGGCATATAACCCCGTGAGATGGAAATGCAGAATCACATCAGAAGCGTACTTTCCAGCAACTTGGGATGGATTGGGTGCAACCTAAAACCACTAATCCAGCAAACAAAAAACAATTGAAAGCTCTGAAAACTTTCTTCGGTTGGGAACATTAGATATGAAAGTGGATCAAATTGATCACCAAATGCGACCGTCTCCAAAATCCTTCCAGATTTAGAACCCTGGTGGCTCTCATTCAAGTAACGCACTTCAATTTGCAAAGCCAATTAAAATTAGTGACGCATATCCCCCCAAATCATACCCATAAACATTATTCCGCAATGGACATTCCGGGTTCAATGACACGGCACTTCAAAGCGGCGAATGAACAAAGATTCCTTGCACCAAAAACTAAACTCACCTTACACATCGCACAACAGAAACAGAAACAACGCTGCTCCAATCTGACAGATGGACATCGAAAATTCAAAGTCGCAGGGAGGCTCGAATCTAGCTATAAATGAAAATTGAAGGACATGACATCTGGGGCACCGCAGCACAACCGGAGTAGTAATCAACGTCAGCATCACGAATCATACATCAAAGACAAACCCGCATGCCCAATTAGCCGTCGAATTGGGCGTAGGTAGGGTGACGAAACAGGGAAGGGAGAAATCGAGGTGGTACCTGGTGAGTGCAGCGAGAGTGAGCACCTCCGAGGCTGAAGCGAGTGCTCAAGGTGGGGGCGAGGGGAGGAGAGGAGAGGCCTGGTGGTGGTGCCGCTGCGAGTGAGTGAGTGAGTGAGGGAGAGAGTACTGGAGACGGCGATGGCGATGGCGAGGGCGTCGTCGAATGTGGGAGGGGGAGCTGCTGCGTGGTGCGCCACACGCAAACAAACGTCCATGGGCGCCATTGGATCCTCAACTCCCTCCCTCGTTCACTCTTTCCTTCCTTGCTTGCTTCACTTCCTTTTCCTTTTCTCGTCCCATACTTTTTAACGTTTCTCGTCTCTCGTCTCCTCCTTTTTTTCCTTTCCTCGTCTTTTGCTTTTCATTTTCTGCTCCTGTTTCGCTTTCAGGTTTAGCGATTTTTATTTATTTATTTATTTATTACTGATTTTTGTTATTATTCTTAATTTTTCACTCATAGCAGCTAATTCTATGAGGTGTTATTTTATTTTATTTTATTTTTTGAATTTATTATAAGTATTCAAATTGATGTTCTATAAATTGCATGTTACAAATGGAAATATAGCATAGTTGGCATGATGAGTCGAGTGTTACTGCTTATTCAGCAAGAAAAAGCAATGCCTAAACATCAATTGATGCAAACTCTATATATAATGGGAAAATGAAAATATGTATATAATAGAATAAAATAGAATAGAATATTAATCAGATATATTCTATTTAGTGAAAATTATCTATGGATCAACACAACATGTATCATGCATCTCCTTTAGTTTCAATTAAAAATCAGCAATATATCTACAACTTAAAAATAAATTTTGGAACTCTACTATCTATCAATTATTTAATTAACTGATATAATCTAGTAATTAATTAATATAATAACTATATATGTTTTAATTATAAAAAATCATAAAATAGTAACATCTTTGTAATTTTCATCATAGCTTTTGAATATAGTCTATCACATGATGTTGCATTGGGCACCAAATCACATCCAATGGATGTAGTCTACTTTAGTGTAGTGGATTTTTATCCATTTAGTGTTTTGTACTAGTCGACCTTGTTAATATCAACTAAGGCTTGAGGATTTAGGTGGAAATGCCACTTGACTTAACAAAAATGTCAAGTCAACTCGTGTAAGTGTTTTTGAAATGAAAAAGCTCATAGTTGTAAGATTTTGCTTGGCTATGGTGATTTAGCCATTGAGTAAAGTTTATGGTTTTTTCACACTTGCACTTTTAGATTCTCTCTTTGTGGCATGACAAACAACTTGACTAAATTGTGTTTAGATACTTCAACTTTCTTTAAGAGTGTGTTTGTTATGTATTCTTATTTGGATTTTGAATGCATACTTGATAATAAATACATACTTGATCAAAGTATTAATACTTGACTATAATATTTTTTTAACATTAATTAAAAATTTAAAATATTTGTAAGCATTTTTTTATTTTTTATTACACAACCATGAAAATTATATACATAAACTCATAAGTAATGCGGCTCAATTCTTTCAGTGTCCATGCAATGTAGCCTTTTTTCATTCTTTTTAAAAATAACTACACACCTGAAAATCATGTTCTAAAGTTTTAATAACACCACTATAAATATAAAAAATTGATTTGATTACACATGATTTGGATTTCTGCAATATACATTTTAAAAACATGTGTTCAAATATTTAGTATTTTAAAAGTATTAAATGATATCTTCTACGTAATAAAAGCATTGTCCACATTGTTAAAACATAACCCAAGTTGACGATTTAAAATATAAAAAGAAAACGAAGAAGAAAATCTAAAAACTCGAGCATCTCTATCATTCGGTAATTAGGGTAAGTGTTGGTTCTTTGGAGCTGAATTGATCGTGATTGCTTGTGATTTCGACCTGGTGCCACTTCGGAGCTGATGTGATCCGTACTACATGTGCGTAAGCGGGGTTGGCTGTTGGCAGATTATTTATAGAGAACTGCTTTCTGTCGTGCGCATGAGACATGAGACATCCTCGATTAAGCATATGTTTTTGAGCAGGGCGTGGGTGTCAAGGACACAAAATACAGACTTGAAATCTAACAAGAAGTTCAAGAAGAAGTGGCAGAACTAGATTAAACAGATGAGTACAAGAACAACACCAGAAAGGTGAGCTAGAACTCCAAGAGATGTGTTGTCGAGACTGAAGAACTCTTCAGCCTCGACTACTATATATACTACTGGCCTATGGTTCTAAGGAAGCGCATCAAGAAGCTTCCCAAGAACTATGAAGCTTCTCGAGTAACTACCCAAGAGCTAGGAAGCTTCTCAAGTAACTTTCTAGAATCTACTAGAATATTCTAAGAATCTTCTAGAGCCTTCTAAGGGAATCTTTAAGGAATCTTCAAAGAATCTTTAGGGAATATTTGAAGAATATTCTAAGAGAATATTTAAGGAATCTTCTGGAAGTTTCTAGAGACTTCTTTCTAGAAGGTTCTAGAAACTTGTCTCTAGAAAGGTCTAAGGACTATGTCCCTAACATCACCTCCTCTTTTAGCTTCGAGGTCTCCGAGAAGCAATGTTATCGTCAGTCAATACCAACGCAAGAAAATGAAGATCTGTCGCATAAGCTCTGCTATGAACTCCAATTGTTGTTCACGAGGCAAGTGATTCAATGGTCCTTGAAGCCAACGGTAGTAGTCCACGCCTTCAACTTCTGACCAAGCATGAACCTCCGTGTCTTCATTGTGAAATTGTCCTGCAAACACTCCTTCTGGCTGACCATTGTAGGCAGGCTCGACCTCAAATACAATCACCAGCGATCTGTTGCTCGGAATCCTTCGACGTCATCGTGGTGCAGGCGGTTCTTTATCTCGCGGTCGTCTTTGTGAGCTAGTTGCTTGAGATGACATGACAAGTGTAGTATCTTGGCTATCCATATTCAAAGGCTAAAACAATAAGAACAAACTTGGGCTACTAACAAAGTTCTACGCTATCTTGGAGAGAATGTCTACATCAACTATGGATTTTGGTGGTGCTCTCTCCTCTTTTCTGTTTTCTGGATGAGCAAGCTTCAGTAAGAAGCTATCGTCGAACCGGCTTGGGTTTCTCAGGATATCGTCGATGAAACTCCTGTACCTTTTGTGGCGCATTCGCGAGATTTTCGGCCGGCTCCCATGTTCGTTCATTAATATCGTAACCGCTCCAATGCACAAAGTATTCTAATTTACCCCGTCTTTACCGTGAATCCAGGACCTTTTCCACCTCGTATTCTTCGTGGTTCTCTATTTCTATGCTAGGTGGTGGACATTGTACTCTTCCAGGAAAAGATGATTCTCGATAAGGCTCCAACAAAGAAACATGAAAGACAGGATGTACCTTCATAGTAGCTGGTAACTCCAGACGATACGCTACAGGATTGATCTGCTTCTGGATAACAAATGGTCCCAATCTCCGATAGTCCAATTTGTCACATGGCCGCTTGGTCTTAATATTTTGTCGAAGCAGCCAAACTTTGTCTCCAATCGTGAATTTAGGTGCCTGATTCCGAAATTTGTCCGCGGACGCCTTGTAAGATTCTTGGGCAGTTTGCAATTGAAGCTTCAATGTAGTTTGAAGCTGCGAAAGCTCCTTCACCAATCCTTCAGCTGCCGGATTGTTAATCGTTGACGAACTCTACAAGTCAAGCTTTGGATGGTATCCATAATTGGAAAAGAATGGCGTTTGTTGAGTTGACGCATGAAGGGTGTTGTTATATGCGAACTCGGCTAGCGATAGATATGCGACCCAATCATCTTGTTGATAGTTGATGGTGCAACGTAAATATTGCTCTAAAACTTGATTCACCCGTTTTGTTTGGCCGTCCATTTGAGGATGAAATGTCGAAGAAAGCTTGATATCCACCTTCAATATTTCAAAAAGAGATTTCCAAAACTTTGACACAAACTGGGTTCCTCGATCCGATACGATATCATCTGGTAGACCATGATATCGATACACATTATCAAGAAAGAGTCTTGCTGTGTCTTCGCTTGACGATGTCTTCTTGCAAGGGACAAAATGTGCCATCTTTGTAAGCCGGTCTACGACAACAAAAATGCTGTCAAATGAATTCGATGGTGGTAGATCCGTAATAAAGTCCATAGAAACCGAAGACTATGGTCGGCGCGGAATAGGCAATGGCTGTAGAAGTCCATAAGGCCAATGTCGAGAGTTTTTGGATCTTGAACAAATGTCACAAGATACAACAAAATCTTTCACATCCTTCCACATTTGAGGCCACCAGAAATCGCAGGAAATAAGTTCCAAGGTCTTATTGAATCCAAAATGTCCCGCAGCTGGAAAGTCATGACGAGATTGAAGAACTCGGAGTCGTGCTGGCCCTTTTGGGATATACAACCGCTCTTCGAAATATACTAGATCTCCTTTCATCTTGAATTTATCATCATTAGCATGTTGCTTGATATCAAGGGCTAGAGAATCTTCAATGGTTGCGGCCCGTACTTGGTCGAGGAAGTCAGCATCAATTGGTACAATAGCTGCGTTGAGCCAAAATTTCTCTAGCTTCAACAATGTCGTGCACTGTTGATCAAATGCTGCATCTCCAGCCTTTGGCGCGAGATATGATCTCCTTGATAATGCATCGGACAACCCTTGTTGCTTCCCAGGCCGATAAGTAATAACAAAGTCGAACCTGGATAGCGACATATTCCACCGAGCTTGACGCCGATTCAAAACCCGAGCCGACATAAAATACTCCAAATTCTTGTGATCCGTATATACGGTCACTAGATGTGCAGTTCCTTCGAGAAAGTGGCGCCACTCTTGGAAAGAATCTACTATAGCAAGGAGTTTCTTATCGTGGATCTCATAGTTGATCTCAGCAGCAGAGAATTTTCGAGAATAGAACGCAACTGGATGGAGCTTCTCATCTACGCCCATCTGTAAAAGTACAGCTCCCAAAGCAAAATCCGACGGATCTGTCTCCAAATAAAAGGCCTTTGTAAAGTCCGGATGTACCAAGATTGGAGCTGTAGTAAATACCATCTTCAAATCTTGAAATGCTTTTTCTGCGATAGGTCCCCATTCGAGCTTGTCCTTACACGTTAACCGAGTGAGGGGGGCAGCAACTTAAGAATAATTCTTGATAAAGATCCGATAGTAGTTAGCAAATCCAAGAAAACATTGTACGTCCCTAACCGTCTTCGAAACTTCCCAAGACATGATTGCTTCCACCTTCTTTGGATCCATCTTCAAGCCTTCCGTAGTCGTGATGAATCCCAAA